GCCAGTGGATGGCCTGAGACGCCCCTAGCAACCACACGGCTCCACGCGCCCGGCGCTCTCGGCCGCGGGTGCCCGCCACGCACTGCGCCCGCCCCTAGAGGACAGAGCGGGGGCCGAGACCCGGCAGCTGGGGGCGGGCGCACAGTCCGCGCACCCAAATTAGTTTTCTATGCAACAGTATATACATATTTTACATGGCATTGGTTGGAATCCCCTAATTATTCCTATCCCATTCCTGGGTTCCTCATTTCTATTTGTCATTTCTGCCCCCCCCCCCCGCCTCTTCCTATTTCTGAGGAAGCTCTGATGGTCTAGTAGTAAAAGGCTGTGCTGCAATCTCAAAGGTATGAGCTTTGAATCCACCAGCTGATGTTTTTTTTGACAAATGCTGCTTTTTTTAATCTCAAAGTCATGCACAGAGGTCATACACAGCTCTTTAAAGGCCAGTTCTTTGCCATGTGTTTTCTCCAACATGGCTGCTTATTTGAACAAATTAAGGCAAAGTACTAGCAAATCCCTTAGAAAGATGAACTCTTATATGCTATTTAACATAGTCAAAATTTCAAGCTTTAGTAGCTAAGAGGCAAAGAGTGGCACTGCTAACCCAAAGGTTGACTGTTCAACTCCACAAGCTGTTCTGGGGAGAAAGACAGGCAATCTCCTCCTGTGCCATTAATAGCCTTTGAAAACTTACTTGAAGGTCAATTGTGGGTCAGTTTCAACTCGATGGCACACAGCAGCAACAGAATCACAGGAGTGCCATCCTGTCATCTTCTATGGGTGAGAAGAAAGTCAGAGGTCCAGTTCATACCTCAGAGGGAGGGTATTACACAAAGCTGTAAACACGAGTAGAGGCCTAGAGTTGTACCAAACAGTGTAATAGAACAAAATATGATCCCATTCAAAAGGTCAGTAATGCCAAGATTGAGAAGCTTTCCCTAAAACCCAAAAGCTATTATTGCCAACACCAATGCATGTAATCCTATAGGATAAAGTAGAATGCTCCATGGTGTTTCCTAGCTGTCACCTTTGTAGAAATAGACCCTCTTGTTTTTCTTCTATGAAGCAGTTGGTGGGTTTGGACCAATGACTTTGCAGTTAACAGACACATGCTTCACCACTGTGCTATCAGGGGCTCCTTACCTAACCCTCAAAACACTCTCATTGCTATTGAGTCAGAGCCAACTCAAATGAGAGAAGACTGTGCACCTAGCTCGCAAGGAGCTACTGTAGATTTGAAGCAACTGAGAAGTGTGGCCTTTGGGTTAGCAGGACAACTGCGCATGGACTAGGCCCCCAGAGCCTTCTGGGATAGAAGCCTAAAATTTTCTATTTTGACAAGTATCCTCATACCCACATCTAAGTTCGAAAATGGCATATCTTCCTCCTCTGTCTTTCTAATGAATATTTTCTTTATTCTTGGATGATCTCCTTGATATAACCCCATGGCTCATCTAGTCTTCATTCTTTAGTGCTCAAGGCCTCAAACCTGTTCTTGATTATTTTTAAATTCAAGTGGGATAGACTCAAGGTCATATTTTTATTTCTGTGGATTTGTTTTAATTTCTCTTCAAGATGAACTTGCACGTGAGTAGTTGATATCTGCTCCATAGTCAGCACCTGGCTGGTTTTCACAGCTGATATTGAGCTTCTCTAATCATTCTTTCACAGATGTAATCAATCTGAATCCTATGCAGTCCATCAGATGAGTTCCATGTGTGTAGTTGCCATTTGTGTTTTCTATAAAACATATTTGCAATCAATAAGTTATGCATTGTACAAAATTCTATCATCACAATAAAGGAAGATGTTCAAGCTGCTCTGAAGAAATTGGCAAAAATATAAGACCCCAGGGATACCAACTGACATATTTCAACAAATAGATGCAGGCCTGGATGTGTGTACCAAGTTGTGTGAAGAAATCTAGAGGATAGTTACCTGGCCAACTGACTGGAAGAGAGCCATGTTTATTAACAGGTCCCCCCCCCCCCCGACAAGGTGATCCAGCAGAATAGGGAAATTATAAAACAATATCATTAATATCACATGCAAGCAAATTATTGAAGATTATAGAAAAATGACCAGAACAGTACATTGACAGAGAACTGCCAAAAATGCAAGCTGAGTTTAGAAGAGGTTTTGGCACTAGGGATATCACTGTGGAAAGCAAAGAGTATCAGAAGGATGTTCATGTGTGCTTTATAGACTATGCAAAAGCATTTAACTGTGTGCATCACAAAAAATTGTGGCTAACCTTGAGAAGCATAAAAATCCCAGAACACTTGGTTGTGTTCATGTGAAACCTATACCTAGACCAAGAAGCTGTTCTCTGAATAGAGCAAGGGAATACTGCTTGGTTAAAAATCAAGAAAGGAGTGCATCAGGGGTGTATCATTTCTCCATGCCTTTTCAATTAATATGCAGAACAGATCATTCTGGAGGCCAGATGACATAACCATGATTGTTGAAAGTGAGGAGGACTTGAAGTACTTGCTGCAGAAGATTAAACACTGCTGCCTTCAATGTGGATTGCATAGTAACATCAAGAAAACAAAGATCCTCACCACTGGGCCAATAGCAGTATCACGATAGATGGAGAAAAAGTTGAGGTTAACGATTTCATCTTATTCTGAACCACAATCAACACCATTATTGCCCTTAGCAGTCAGAAAATCAAAAGATGAATTGCATTAGGGAAATCATGCTATCAAGGACCTCTCCAGAGTACTGAAGAGCAATGACATCAATCTAGAGACTAAAGTGTGCCTGATCCAGGCAACAATCTTCTCTATTGCTTGATATACATCAGAGACCTGGATAATGACCACGGATGATAGAAGAATTGATGCCATAGAGTTGTGGTGCTGGAGAAGAGTATTGAACATACTATGGACTGCCAAGGGGACTAACAAGTTGTGGTGCTGGAGAAGAGTATTGAACATACTATGGACTGCCAAGGAGACTAACAGGTCTGTCCTGGAGAAAGTGAAGTCAAGCTGCTCCTTGGAAGCAACGATTTTGAAACTATGTCTCACATATTTAAAGTTTATTGCCAGGAGGCACCAGTCCTTAAAGTATGACATTGTGCTTGGAAAGATAAAAGATCAGTGCAGTAAAGGAAGATTTTGGATGAAGCGGATTGCCAGACTTAGTGACTGTGGCAATGGGGTCAGCTGTGTCAGATGGTGAGGTTATGTCAAGATATGGTAAGATTTTTAACTATTGTTCATAGGGTTGCTGTGAGTCGTAGCTGTCTCAATGGCACGTAACAACAACAACAACAACAACAACAACAACAAAGCTCTGGTGGTGGAGTGGTAAGAAGTTGCACTGCAATACAGAAGGCATGTGGTTTGAATCCACCAGCTGCTCCTCAGGAAACAAATGGACAAACTCCACCCATGTGAAATACTCCCTCTGTAAATCTGGTGGTGGGTCAGCTATGGTTTAGTTCTGACTTAATGACACACAACAACAAAGTATATGCTGAGAGCTCTGGTGGCTTCATGAGAAGGAATTGTGCTGCTAATATAAATATATGTGGTTTGAAACCACCAGCTCCTTTGCAGAAGAAAAAGGGACAATCTCCTTCTATGCGATTTAATGGCTCTGAAGACCCACTAGGGGGTTGGTTTTGAGTCTGTTATGACTCGATGGTACACAACAACAAAGTATATACAATGGATTTCTAGTGGCATAGTGGGTAAAGGGTTGTGTTGCCAACTCAAAGACAGGTAGTTCAAACCCACTAGCTGCTTCAAGGGGGGAAAATGGGCAATATCCTTCTAAGTAATTTACTGCCTCTGAAAATTCACTGGAATATCAGCTATGAGTTGGTTCCAATTTGATTATTGAGAGAGAGAGAGGTGGGGGGGTCAGGGGTGGAGGGAAATGGGGAGGGGGAGGAGGGGGGGAGAGAGAGAGAATGAATATTCAAGGTATGCATTCTGGTGCCTTAGCATATAACATGTTGGACTACTAACCAGAAAAGATCAGCAATTTGAATCCACCAGCCATTCTTCAGAAGAAATATGGACAATATCCTTATGTCAGGATTTTTAGCCCTGGAAAACTGGAAGTTTAATTCCACAACTGCTCCATGGGAGATGGGTAATGTCCTCCTGTACGATTTACAACCTCTTAAAACCTGTGGAAGGGTCAGCTATGAGTAGATTCCAACTTGACAGCACAATAATACCAACATACTATGAAACAATAAATTTCAATTCCTTAAAGACATCCACCAGTAGTATATAAATATAGCAGCACTAGAAAACCAAAACACTATACAGGTTATGACAAATTGAGCAAAGTACGTTTCACTGCTTAGCAATGGAGACACATTACAAACTTCTGTCTAACATTAACTCAGAATTGGAAACTCACATAGTAAAACTTCAATGTCATATTAGTGTTAAATATGTTAATTATTTTCTTGAGATAGTCTCTAAATTCAAGGCAGACCTTTGGCTCTGTGGGCTTCTTTTAAATTTCTTCAGCTTCAACTTGAAATGACATTTAAACAATTAATGGTGTCTTCTGCAGTTGACCCTAGTTTTGTTTTGTTTTTTTAATGATGATACTGGGGTTTTTCATCTCTTTCCACTAATTTAGTTTATTTGATTCCTATTTGTTCCATCTGGTGAGTTCCACATGTAGTAGTCACTGTTGATGTTGCTGAAATGGAAGAGGACCTGAAGCACTTGATACAGAAGGTCAAGGTGTGTAGTCTTCAATATGGATTGAAGCTCAACATCAAGTAGACAAAGATTCTCACCACTGGTCCAATTGGCAGAGCCGTGCTAGATGGAGAAGAGATTGAGGTTAACAATTACAGGCCTGCTTAGCTCCACAATCAACACCCTTGGCTCCAGCAGTCAGGAAATCACAAATGAATTGCACTGGGAATATCTGCTGTCAAGAACCTTTCCAGAGTACTGAGAAGCAACAGTGTCAGTCTAGAGGCTAAGATGTGTCTGATCCAGGCCATGATCTTTGCAATTACTTGGTATACATCAGAGAGCTGGACAAGGACTACGGATGACAGAAGTATCGATGCCTTTGAGTTGTGGTACTGGAGAAGTCTCAAACATACAATGGACTGCCAAGAAGACAAATAAGTCTGCCTTGGAGAGGGTGAGACTAGTTTCTCTTTGGAGGTTAGGATTTTGAAGCTCCATCTCACATACTTTGTGCACATGGCCAGGCAGGACCTGGCTCTTGGAGATGGACATCATGCTCGGAAGGGTGGAGGGACAGTGTAGAAGAGGAAGACCCCAGATGAGACGGATTGACACAGTAACTGGTGCAATGGGAGTAGGTGTGGGAACAGTGAGACTGGTTCAGAGGGCAGGCTTCAGAGCTGTTGTACAAAGGGTTGCTGCGAGTCACAGGCACATAACAGACAGCACATCTTCTCCCTCTCCCTTTCCCCATTCAACCCCACAATGCACCCCCTTTTCCAGATTGTTATCATATATATAATGCCTAATCATATATTCCTTTTGGAGAGTTCACACCTGTCCTAATACATTGTTCATTATCCATTCTTATAACAATTTCCACTTAGAGAGGCCTTTTATTTGCCTAAGAAGGCATCTGCAGAGAGCTCTGGTGGTCTAGTGGATAGGGAGTTGCACTACTAACCCAAAAGTGGTACCTCTGTGGTGATTCAAGCCTGCCAGCTGCTTGGAGGAGGATGGGCAATCACCTCCTTTACAGCCTGTATCCTCTGAAAACCCACTTGTGACACTTGAGGGTCAGTTTTGAGTCAGTTCCAACTGATAATAATAAGTGAATAATTGAGAATAAGGCTTTCATAGACTGTTTCACAGTGATCTTTTTTTCTTATATTTCTCATCATTGCCGTTTTTAACTTTCATCAGAAATCTGGGTCTAGTTAAAACCCACTGCTGCTGTCTTGGTGATTCCACTACATAGCAAACTCTGTTAGGTTTCTGAGGTTGTAAATCTTCATGGCAGGAGACTACTTATTTTATGGGTTGCCTGGTCACTTTGAACCCTTGATAATTCAGTTAGCAGCCTGGCACAAGACCCATCATGCTGCTAGCAGTCTTTATATGGCAAGGTAGAACTATGCCAATGTGAGGTGTTTGTGTCCCGCCAAAGGCATTAGACGACTTGCTAATATTGTCAATAAAGTGAAAGGTACATTTCTTGTGGAACCATGCAAATAAGGAGTGTATGTACTTCACCTGATGGTATGCATAGAAATCAGATTGATTACACCTGTGGAAAGAATCGCTGGAGAAGCTCAGTATCAACTGTGAAAACTAGGCCAGGTGCTGATTGTGGAACAGACCACCAGCTACTCATATGCAAGTTCAAACTGAAGTTGGAGGAAATTAAACCCACAGGAACCAAAATTTTACCTCCAGTCTATCTCACTTGGATTTCAAAAACATCTTGGGAACAGGTTTGAGGCTT